AAAGTTATATTCTTTCATTCATTAGTTTTCCTGCTTCTCTATTCCATATGCTCTCCTTTCCTTCGGTTCCATGGAAAAGTATTGACGAGCCAGATGAGTAATACAATTATAGTTTATGTATGACCTGAATGGTGTATGTGGCTTGACTGGCCTGTTAGCCAGGGTGGCTGCTGTATGGCCAGAACAGCGCAGAATAGCACAGACTACAGGCATGAAAGTTCATAACTCTCTTATCCTCCAAAACATCTTTTGACATATTATTTGTGGATTAGTGTGTATGAACGGTTCAATACAGCAAGAAGTCACAATGAATAAACAGAGGGGACCAGATTCTTTGTAAGGATGTACACATGGTTCTCATTTTAAGGCCTGAACCAATCCACTTAAGTTAATGTAAATCCTTCTCCAGACTTCAATGGGAATCTAGCCTTTCTGGCTAGCTCTAGTAAAGGACTTAGGCACCTAAGGCAGGATGTAGGTGGAACAGCATCCAAAAGCGCTCTCCAGAAACCTGTGCTTGGCTGCTGCCTAATCCTGGAGGCGCCTAGTCTTGCAAGACATTCCCTTTTTGATTTTAAAGTTCTGTAGGTGACAACAGTCATCCAGATCATATCCAGATCAGCCTGGTCCGAGCAGCTCATCAGCCAGTTCTTTCCTCAGACTGGTCTAAAGCCAGGAACTAAGCAGAAGATGCCTAGGACTTTTGAGGGCCACATCTGGTAGGCATTTTCAAAGCATCGTAGCATACAGTGATGGATCAAATGCTCTTCATATCATTCTGCTTTAATACTGAAATGTCAAAAGGCATTTCTTCCCAACCAAATCTGAGAAGAACAGAAGAAAGACTACTTTTTTGGTTGGTTGGTTGGTTTGGTTTTTTTTGTGAAGTTAAAAAGAGTAATATGATGTAGATAGGAAATATGTCTGATTATTCACGTTACTTTTTTTTTCTCTCTGATGCGCTTAGAGGGTATTTTTAACTCAACTTTGACTGGGGTGAAAAACAGTCACCTCATCCCTAAACAGTCTCATGCATAGGAATGTTCACATTCTCTAAATCAAGTTGAACGTCAAACAATTAATATGGATAATTTTTTCTGCACCTAAGTTTGGAAACAAAACCTTCAGTCTATATTAAGATTGCAACTTACTAATAAAAAGGAACACTATTTGCAGAAGTCAGCTGCTTTTTGCACAGGTAAAACATGGTGCTTTAGAGGCACAGAGGAATGTTGTGTATTACATGAAGACTGCAAGGTGGAAGTGTTAATTCTGTGTCAGACATTTGGCAAAACAGAAATATAGCCACAGAAATAGAACATTTTCAACACATCCTGCTTTGAAAATAAAATTACTTGGCTTCTAAGTGGTATTTTTTCATTAAAATAGAGGTTTTGCTGTGGTATTTATGTGTCAGGAGGAGCCCATTAGTCTACGATGATATTCTTTTTCCATTGACATTATCTTTTAATTATATCATTCTGAGCCACATCACTAGTGGAGGATCGATTTTTACAGCCCAGTTTACATATCGCTTCAGCATCTAATTCTGAGGAGGTGTTACACACTTTGAGGTTTCTGCTTCCCTTTTTTAAAATAATTTGGAACTCATGACTGCTTAAAAAGGCATCAACAAAGGTGCCTGTCTTTCCTTTGAAGTCATTTTTTGCGGAAATCACAGTCACTGACCAAAAGGTTTCAAAAGATTAAATTGTGCTTATTTTACGACATTTTAAAACAGCAGGGTTAAATGCTGGGCCAGCTGCCAGGCAGTCAGCAGCACCCATACTTTCATGTTCAGCAGCCAGACACATCTACAGCAGTTATTTCTGAGTAGTTATTCCTGAAATATGTCACTCAGAACAGCAGAGGAGATTTAGGATTTGTGCGCTTTGATGACGGGCTAATGAAAATGTATTTTATATATATGCCACGAGTGTAATGAATTTCAGGGTTAAAAAAAAAAAAGGAATGTAGTGGGCAAATTAGGTATTTGTAATTCTCTTTGTCAACACTGGCTTCTCCCTATAGTTGGAATCAACTTGGAGATCCACAAAATCATGGCTGTCGGACACTTGTGTCCTGTAGTGCATTATCCACGTGTGGCAAAACACTTCACTGCTCACTCCTTTATATGGAGGCTGTAACAGACTGAGGGCTAGTTTAAAGTTGCAGAACTGTTTCAGAAAGGGATACATAAATCTTGACATCATCTTTGATGAGGAACCTAAGGAGAGGAAGGACACTCAGACACTGTCCATCCTGGCCAGCAGTGCTGTGGGCTTAGTGGATCTTTTTTGAAGTTCAGCTCTGTTGCAGTCAGGAAGTGATTTGCCCCATTTTATAAATTTTTATTGTGGTCTTTTCTTTCTAATCCTCATGTGATGCCTGGTTTCCCTTGGTGTGTGTTTTTTTTTATCTGCCTTTTTCCATTTTGAGGACTCACAGGCCAGACTCTCTGTGCTGGTTTCCGTCACTTTGTATTGTGCAGGTGTTGCAGGGCACTGTCTTAACTGGCCCCGGGGGATGTTCCCTGTGTAGGGAGCCATGCAGCCGGTGCAAGGTGGTATAAACAGCTCTTGTGCCAATTCTTCTTCCCATGCTGGCACAGGGAAAGACTCAGAGACCCACAGAAACAAAACAGAGTGCTCTGGGTTCTTAACGGGTACATCTCAGGGACTAAAATAGGCTGGGATTAGTTAGGGTGTACTTGAACTACTCAAGCTTATCTAAGTTCTGCTGGGGCTCAGGCTGACACAGGAGCAGCCGTAGAGCTGTGTGACCATAACCAGCTCCCCATCTCCTGCTCTGAGTGGATCTTGGCAGAATATGGACCTTTTATTCTTGTCCTGCTGGCTGGATGAAACCCCACAGTCTACAGATCAAAGGAGTTTGATGGACTGCCAAAAATAGTAACCTATACGTAAAACATGTGCTCCATTTATAGCGATCATTTGGAAAGTTTCCTGCTACTGCAGAAATTCAGATTACATTGATTTACTGTTCAGTACTGCAATATACTGAGAGGCTTTTCAATGAGTTCTATTGTATGCATTTGCAGAAAGGCTGGGGAAATTTCTTCCTTCCTTCCTTTCCCTTTGGTATATAATGCATAATCATGGAAGTACATCTTTCTGAGGTTTTGCATAGCTCTGGCGAAGTGGGTTAATATCTACTCTACACTTTGAAAGATATTGTCACCTGTGCTGATATTTTAGCCTTTGAAAATGAAGTGCTGTTTCTTTTGATGTAAAGAGCATCTCTCCGGTATTTATGGAATCATTTTATTTTACCTCTCAGTCTATAAGCTGTTAGCTACAGAATACTTCCCGCATGTTGTTTTCAGGCATTTCAGTGGCTTTTGTGTGAACAGATCAGTGATTCACATGGTAATTAAACAGGAAGGTACACATGAGTACAGCCACCTTGTGTTTCAGCACTTGTGCATATCTGTGCTGTGGGCAATACAGCCTTTCTAAGCCTCATCTAAGTTCTGTTGGACAAAAAAGCTACTTTCAGACTCCTTCCTAGAGGAGTATTAATATCACTGAACAGCCATAAAGGTGCTGCATTTATAGACAGCCTGAGCTTAGGTGGTTGTTACGGCAAGGAAGACATAATACATTGGGTTGTATGAACTGATGTGGACACTCAGAAGTAAATCAGGGAGTATAATAATGCTACATCCTCTACTGAGCCAGCCTACACAGACCTAGTCTCTGTGTTAACCAAACAGTATTTGATATCTAGCTAACAAACACAGCTGAAAAGAAAGAAGAGCATCTGAAGCTCTTATGACTCATAAAAAGGCTCATTAATCCATGTAGTCATACATGTGTTGTGAAAAGAGTAAATTTACTGAAAAGCATACTAATATAAGAAGAGAATAAAGGCTCAAGAGTGAGCAGGGACATTTAACTGCTGGCCTACAACGTTTCAGCCTGTTAGCAAACAGTGATCCTCTTTGGTGGATGATAAAGAAGACAAACTTGGCCTTCATTTCATCACTCATATTACAGAAGGATGTCATACTCTTCTCTCAAATAATTTATTTACCTAACGATATTCAGAAATGGCCTTTTTTTCCTTTCTGGTTTTATTGTTATAAAGTGTTTTCCTTCAGACCCTAGCTGCTAATAGGCACCATAAGAGTTAATTATTCTATCTCTGGATACTATTAAATTCACCCCAATTCACTCCTCTGCCTCCCGTCTGTAAACGTCCTTTGGATCAAAGCTCAATATAACTATTTTAGGCCAAGAGTTCAAAATGCTACCATTCATATTATAACTTAACAGGAAAGCATGAGTTACTTTTCCTCCTAATAATTAATACCTTTCTGAGTTATGGTGGTGGTTCTTCTGTTTGATTTTTTTTTTGTTTGTGTGTTTTTTTGTTTTATTTTGTTTATTTGTTGGTTTGTTTTTTAAACTGAAGAATTAATTTGGATTTTCCTAATCTCAAAGATTACATCAATCTGTTTTCATGCATCTGTTATGTGTCAATCATTTGAAGGAGAAAAAATAATCTAAACACACTAAGAAAAGTGTAGATAGCATTTTTGAAGGAAACAGGGGTTTAGAATGGCAGCAAGAAAAAGGAAAGCCTTTCCTCGGCTATTTTTCCTCTACTTGTGAATTAAAAAGATATTTTCCTTTCAGATTTCTGCAGAATTATTAGCAAGCATTCCCAGTATCCACTCCATTTGCGACCTGAGGGCTTTGCACGGAAGGAGCTGTTTTAATCAGCGTTCAAACGGAAACCCTCAGCCGCGGCTTTCCCTGCGTTTCTGCCTTCCCGAAACGGGCCGGCCGAGCGCCGGACTTTACCCTGCGATCGCTTCGATATCAATGTCCGCCAATCTGCTCTCCACATGGAGACTCGCGAACGCTCCCCACGTTTTCCCCGCTCCGGGATCCCGGCGCGGCGCACGGGCGGCCGCGCTCGGGCGCCCCCTGGCGGCCCCGCTCGGTGGCGGCGCGGGCCGTGTCACTGCGCCCGCAGGGCCCGGCTGCGCTGCGGGGCCGCGGGGTCGCCACTCCTGGCTGCTTTGGGAACGGCCACCTCCTGCTCCCCGGCGTTGGCCTGCTGAAACGGTGAGGGTTTGCATGATTCTGTACCGCCCCAGCCGGTTGAGGGTGACGGGAAGGAAAAAAGGAGCTCGGTACAGGAGAGTGCCCCCGCGGTCGTAGCGCAGGCACCGGTGACGGAGCCCCTTTGGAGGGCAAGGCTGAAGGAGCTCACGGGTTTAGCCTAAGTGACAGCTCCAGCAGGATAGAATTATTAATTAAGAATTTACAATCTCTCAATACCTGTAGTCAAGGTGGGGTCTCCCCTGGAATACTGAATCCACCTCTGGGGTCCCCAGCACAGGAAGGATATTGACCTGTTGTAGTGAGTCCAGAGGAGGGTCATCAAATTGATTAGGAATGGAGCACCTCTCGTATGGGGAAAGGCTGGGAGAACTCGGATTATTCAGCCTAGAGAAGAGAAGGCTCTGGGGTGTTCTAATTGCGGCCTTCCACTACCTGAAGGGAGCCTACAAAGAAGATGGAGAGGGACTTTTTCCAAGAGCATGTAGTGACAGGGCAAGGGGGTGTGGCTTTAAAGTGAAAGAGAATAGGGTTAGATTAGATATTAGAAAAAAAAAAATCTTTACTGTGAGGGTTGCGAGGCTCTGGAACAAGTTTCCCTGAAAAGTTGTAGATGCCCCATCCCCGGAAGTATTCAAGGCCAGGTTGGATGGAGCTCTGAGACAGCTGGTCTAGTGAAAGATATCCCTGTCCATGGCAAGGGGTTTGGGACTAGATGATCTTTAAGGTACTTTCCAACCCAGGCCATTCTATGATAGGTATTTTAATATTTTCATTCTAAAAAGCACGTTAAAAGCCTGGGCTATGTAATACTCCAGCCTTTGTATCATGGTTGTGAATACTTCTTCAGAAATAGGGCATTAGAGTGGAAGTGTAAGCTGAGAGATTGCAAATTCATAATTAATAATTCTATGCTGCTGACAAAGTATTTACCCATGTCAAATACCTACCTAAGTTATGTTGTTTATAAAACTGATTCAAACATCTTTGATCTCAGCTCACACAAAATTCCGTCAGATGGAAGTCAAACACTTTGTAGAAAAAACCATGCACTTTTGAGGTAGTGTTGCTCAAACTGTGTAGAGGGATTGGCATTGGCTCCGATTCAAGGACTGACACGTCCCCCTCCACCAGCCTCCCCCTCCTTCCAGTTTGACCCACAGCACCAGCCCTTTCCCTGTTCTAAAGTTGTTGCCCAGGACTTTTTATTAGCCATTTAGCCCTGCTCAGCTGTACAGCATGAAGAATGCATACTTTTCCTTCTACTTAGTGTTGGCTTTATCAGTAAAATTTATCTGGAGTTTGATGTTCAGAGGGGTGAAGGGATGATGGGAGGGGGGAATAGCCCAGTCCAGCTGTGAGTATACTGACTACTCATTTAAGCAAAGGCAAGGGAAGCAGCCTGGCTGCAAAAAGTAAAATATTACAGGCTATATCATAGGGTTTGGATGTGAACATATATACACAATGCTTCTTTCACAGGATTCCTGCTGTAAATTTTATCCTTTACTGGGTGATTCAATCCTCTGTAATGAAAAAGTTGCCCCACTCTGAACTTTCCTGATGCTATTTCTTTCCCAAGAATAGTAATAACAGAAACTAAAACAAAAGACAGAAGAAAACATACTCCAGCTTGTGTTAAAGGAATATTTCTTGGAAAATGAAAAACCATGGTACCAATGGGATCGGCCCTTCAAAGCTTCTGAAATTTTGCCACGGCCACCACATCTGCTACAGAAATTAATTTGATACGGCACTGCATTCCTTTTATGGTTAATTCACACTTATCCAGTGGGTGACCTATCCAACTTGTAGACAGGTAGGGCAGTAAGTGTGAAGTCACCTGAATCAAGAAGCAGTATGGCTATATTTGTATCATCTATATTCCCTAGTTTGGAGAGGTGCCATGTTGAAACAACAGGTATTTTTCCTCTCCATCTTGTGGGCTGCTGTAAAATAAGTTTTGCACTGTTTATGTTTTTGGAGGGCCAGGGTACCCCACTGGTAACCTTGGATAACAGAAGCCTAATTAATGTAGCCCTGGATAATATAAACATAATTAAACCACAGACACTATGCACCCATGAAAATGCCTGGTGATAATCTTTATCCCATTGCCTGTTATGCTTCCAAATTTGCTGCTTCTCTCAGAGACATTATTTATTTGCTCTCTGCAAATCTTTTTCATGAAGCATGTCTGCTTCTTTCTAGACCTTTGTTTGCAAGGTATGCAAGTATTAATGCATGTGTGCATACAAATTGCTCCCTAAATTCTTAACTAGCTTAGGACACTTCGTACTCTGATTGAATCCTGACTATGTTTGATAAGCGGACAAATTTCTAGAAACTTTCTGGTCCATGTTTTAACAATGAATATCATCATGCAGCTTGACAAACACCTACTTTTTGAAGAAAATGATTCTATCTTACATAGGAGGAGACCCCAGAGGTATCATGGCTTTTCATTTTCCAAGAAAGATTCTTTAGCACAGTCACTGTTCTGCTAGTGATACATCCCCAGGAACTCTACTAGAAACCTAGAGAATTGGAAAGTATTCAATCAACATATCAGGTTATTGCTGAAGCAAGGTCATATTCCAACAGAGAGAATATGAAAACCAATACACCAATAGACCACAGTCTTTTATTAACTACTGAGTGTTTTAAAACACAACAATGTGCAAAGTCTTTTTGCAAATTGAGTGCCAGGTTTCATTTTTGGAAGCTGAATGTTACTATTTTGATAGATATTAAAAGATTCAGTACACTAAATACAAAACTGACATGTGTGCACCAGTACAGCAAATTCTAAAAATGCATGTGATGCACAAAGAACCCAGACTATTTATTCTTCAAGTATGCTGTGTTTGGTATGTTGTGTGATAGCTGTTAGGTATGCTTAAAGAATTACTTTGTAATTGCAGTCTCACAGGATGTCCTTTTGTTTTTCTGAGGAATATTCCCCAGTGTTTCTCTTTTCATTCAGATGCCTCGAGCATGACCACAGGAAGACATTATTTCCCCCTTCGATACAGGAATATGTATCAACATAAGACCCATGCCATGCTGTTACACTAACAATTGTTCAGTAATTTATTTCCCTCTTGTTTCTCTCTTTCCAGTGGAAATACGTGATCCAAATCTGAGCGAACTGACTGCAGATGTTTTTGTTGACTTTATAGACTTTGATTATATCTTTGATACAAGAGAATCCGCCCTGCAGGACGGGAGTGTAATTCCATCAAGGACTTCTGGTGACCTCATAAACCATGAGAGCTGGCATTGACTTTAATGGGCACCACGTGGTTAAGTTCCCATGCATCATTTTGAAAATGTAAGGCTTCATTTGATATTGCAGAAGGATACCAGACCTACCATGTCAAATTGTTTCTCTTTCTTCTTAAGGAGCCACCCGCTTTATGTTACAGTCAGTCCTCCTTGGTAGCAAATGAAATATGCCATTCTGGAAAATTAGTATTTTCTCTGGCAAAATGAACTTGAAAAGTGCGTTTCATAGAAAAGCAGATATTTGGGTTATATTCTTTTAAATAAACTTTCTAAAAAGATGGCAGTAAATTCAAGGAAAGATGTGGGTTTTGCAGCACTGGCTTTGCAAATTTCAAAGTATGAGACATTTAAAAAAAATAATTTCTTAAAAAATATAGTAATAGAATTGTTATCGGTCAGTTGAAAAATTAGACCATGTTAAACATGGTTTTAGTTAAGCTAAGTTAGCTCAAACTGCTAGTGATAAATGACCTAAGTTAGAAGTTACTCGAACTAAACCAGTTTAACTGTATTCAGTGCACCCGTTCTAGGACTCTTTTATTAGGAATTTCCAGGGGTTCAATAAGGTTGACTTGATGTTTCAATTTGTGAAGTTTGTTCCATCACCTTTGTAAGGCACTTGGAGATTTTCTCCTGCCTTTTCTCAACCTACCTTTCACCTGTTGAAACCAGTATACACCCATTGTCCATACCTATAAAAAGTTGCTGGGTATCAGTCTGAAAATAAGGTCTGTCAGCACGGCTCTGATTCAGGAAAATGTGGTAATAAAGACATAACCTAAGTGTGTCAGCTTAGCTTTTTTTATCATCTATGACATCAGTATATAACAAGGAGATGCTCTAAAAATTGCTTATCATGATGATTGCATACCAGGAAAGGATCTGTCCTTCCTAATTCTGACAGTACAGATCAGTGAACTGCCTAATCTCTATTTTTATTTCAGCGTTATAAGTAATTTTATTCCTAGATTGGTCCATAAATAACAAAATCTTTGTTACATGGCTAGATAATGTTTCTGTACATTATCATGGATATGTTATTTTTTATTCAGCTTCAGGTAACAAATCACCTTGATATTAAAGGGGGGAAAAGGATACCTTTTAGACAGATTATTGAAAAACTGCTTACTCTGGCCTTTCTGCCACCTTAATGTGAAGTCCCCAGTGTGTGTTGTTCTCTGGGATAACTTCTGAACTATATTCATCACTGCTCCCTGTGCTATATTGCAGTGAGAAGTACATTTTTTCACCATGTGCATGGCTCATCCATAAGGTATAGCACTCCTTTTAGTAGTTCTATCCCATGTCCTAGAGCTAGGTGGAATAACTGCAGGTCTTAAGTTTAGTTTAAATGTCTTCTTAAAGAATGGTGAATGTGGGTGTATGGGAGAAGGCTGGTTCTTCAGTGTTGGTGTCGTGGTACAGTTATGTAGATTTTATACAACAACCTCCTTCTTAATGGCACTCAGAATTATCCCAGTTGCAATCTCATAGCTGAGATAGTTAATAAATTACAGGCATAAGAAAGGCTGCGACAGCCTTGGGGTGCAAGTTGTACTGTACTAGGTTAGATAGTTTGTACAAGAGGAGGATCCCTAAGGCTTGTTGAATAAATAGATGGATCTTCTCTCTACTCCATGAAAAATTATATATGTTTTTGGTTTGTTTGTACTACTTTCTCCACATGAAACGTGTGTTTAGTCCAACAATTCTGTGGTTTCCTCACTTTGTGATAATAATTAACACCCTTACTGAAGTCTAAGCAGTGATGACATTTGTTTAGAGGCCTGACTCTGATTTTTGTTGCTGTTTTGCCTTATGTTACTTTCAATATGCAATTGGAACCATTTTGGAAAAGGAAAAGGTTCAAAGATTGTTGGTTTTTTTGATCTTACTGACCATATATATCCTTCAACTCAACTCAGTATATCCTTCAACCTTTGTGGGTGGACAACCTCTCCAGTGCTGTGGGTCTGGGTTGACAGTAGCAAGGTGAAACTAAAGCGAGCTATGCAGGGGTCTAAAGTCTCCCCCTTTTTTTTTTCCCCTTAAAGAAACAGAAAAATAGATATAATTGATATAAAAGTAAACCAGTCAGAAAGTAACTGTTGTTTATGAGGTAAATGTGTTAGGAGAGGAAAAAAGAAAAGATATCTTAAACCTTACTTTAGAGATTCCTGAAGCTTTGGGGAAAATTTATTTTAAGAAATATGACAATGGTTCTCTACTCTCCTCAGTAATCTTGTAAAAAAAGATTAATAGCTTTGGAGTAGATATACATATTTTGAACTTCCTTTCTGGATAGAGCACAAAGAAAACCTGGCTTGTTTGTGGTTGTAGAAGAATCATAGGTGGCTTTGTATAAGAAAGGCAGGTAGCTGCCAGGGACATACAAGCCTCCTTCCCTTTCCCTGTTCTTTTTTTGGTAATAACTTTTTTCAATATGTTGTAATTTTTTTCCCCATTTTTCCTAAATAAAGTGAAATGTCAAATCAGCAGAGAATTAAAATGTATTTATAAAAAAACAACCAAAAGGGCATCTGATGTTTTACAGACATTCCAACACCTTCAGGAAATTTGAACTCACACCAAAGGGTCTGATATTCATTTGAATCTCCATCTGTGCTGAAGCACATGTGTGCACACAACACACATTGAACCACTACAGTGGAAAAAAAATCCCTGCTCTTAAATTATAGCAGCTCTCTACAATTCTTCTGTAACCACAAAGGCTTTGGTAGTTTTGAGACATTGCAGTGGCTTTGGGTGATCTGATCACAGAGCTTAGTTTTGTTAAAGAAATCCCTTTGCTGAAAGGTATGAAAAAGCTGTAGGAGAAACATGGGGAGCTGCAACCTCGCAGCATGAGGGTAGTTTGGAGTAAAGGGGAAGGGTTCAAGAAGCTGTTGTGACAGCAGACACCCTACAGCCAGAGTTAATGCTGGAAACACTGCAGTTTTAGTTCCCTCACCAGAAATCCCCATGCTCGCAGGAACGGATATAGTCATTAGTCCTCAATGGGAATATGACCTTTCCCTTTAAGTATCTGTGTGATGCTTTTGATCCTTTGACTCTCTCTAAGGGATAGATTAAATATGTGGCACAATGTCTACTCCTGAGTGAGGATTAAGCCTGGCTTTTGGAAGCAGAACTATATTGCCTAACCCATCACCATTTATCATGTTCTCTGGGGACCTGTTCTCCATTTTTCTTCCCCTCCCCCTACACTTTTAGAAAATCCTCTTCTCTGGGGTTTAATATTGATATCAGCTGCATTGGCCTTGGCTTCATTGTAGTTCCTTCTGATTTTACACTGAACCAGGTCTTATGTCTCAGATATCTTGTTAAACAAAGTGCTATTTTGAGGCTCAGTTCTCATGCACCCTGCACTTCCCTTAGCACATTTTTGTGTATGAATTTTCGTAATAAATACCTTAAAATGATTTATAGTTTTGTATCACCATGTATTTCAATGGAATTCCCTGAGGATAAACCTTGCCTTTTAATACTTGTATTCAGATTTAATGAAGCAGTGAAGCATATGATTACCTTCAGGACCTGTGTAAATCCCATTAACTTCAATTAAGCCCAAGAACATGCTTTGGTGCTTCACTAACCAGGGATGCTTAAGGCTAACATGCACATAAATGTTTTGCTGAATCAAGTCTTAGTGTTTTATCCATTTTTATTCCTGTTTCTCTTTTACTCTGTCTGATGATATAATAATTTTGGTCTTGTAGCTTCCAAGTAAGAAGCTACAGTAGGACTGAAGGTCTCATTCAGTAGAGGATAAAATTAATCCATTCTGCAGCTGTGAACCAGAGAAGTCACAGCAAGCTTCCCAGTAAAATGAAAAAGTGATGGTATGGCACTCTGGCTCATAAAAATGTAATTTAAGCATTGCCCTCTCAATAAAAATATCACATTTAGGACACAGTAATCCCCTTCTGAACCTTATCTTACTTTTCAACAGCTCTTTGGACTCTTAGAATTGATGCACTTTGAATTTCCTGTTGGTCAGGTAGCATGACTTCCTGTAGCTCCCTCCCACAACCCCAGCTTTGCGTGTCATTCTAAGCAGGCAATATCCAGGCACAGGCGGAAAGCTGACTCCTTGGTCTAAAATTCAGTACATTCAGGAGCTTTAAGGTACTTAGTTGGCAGACTTCAGAACTACTACTGCTCAGAGCTGTGGCCTTTGCACATATTGCACCAAAATGAGTGAAACTTCAAAAATGCTTTTCAATTGTTTTCTCAAGACTCCTGCCAGAATCTTTGCCTTCTTTTCATACTTTTTTCTTTTAATGAGCTCCTGATTTATGACAAGAAATCACCAGACACCTAGGTTCTCTGGGCTTATTAAAACAGACAAATTCTTTGGTGTTAGAAATTCATCATAAGAACATATATTTTTTCCATACTAGATTAAATCAATGCAGGCAAGTGCCCCAGTCCTCTCCCAGCTATGGTCTGGAGGTATTTCAGCACAAGGAAAAAATAACCCTTTCCAGTTCCTGGCTCAAAAAAGCCAGTGTTTTCACTGGAGGCAGAAGGATGATTCTTTTCTTGTCCCCACAGTATTCTGCATTTTATCTATATCAAAAGATTTGCTTCCTCTTCCATATCCTCTTCTTATATCTTCCAAATAGGAGTCTTCTTCCTAGCTTCCGTGTCTGAGTTGCACTGGTGATTTATATGCTCACTGTCTGTTTTCACAATGTCTTTCCTGGCTGTCTTGTATCTCTCCCCTGTGGAGCACTGGGCCTTAAAATCATTGCAGTAAGAACAGGCAATCAGTCTTCCTTAGATACATATTGGATTTTACTGGTGCCTGAGCCTATAGAATGTGCCAATGTCTTTTGTGGTTCTGGCAAGGAAACCTCAGGAAAGTGTGGAGTTTTGGTTTGGATAACAGAGAAGCTGTTTGGGACTTTTTTAAGCAAAGTGTTCTTTATTTATTGTTCTTTTCACAAGATAATGCTGGGAATAGATGAGGAAGTTTCAGAAGGAGTTTTGGAACTGCAGGGTGGTGGCTCTGCTCAAAAT